TTTATTTATTTATTTATTTATTTATTTATTTATTTATTTATTTATTTATTTATTTATTTATTTATTTAATCCTTGCCGAATAGCTTTAGAATGACTTTCAGTTTATACGTTTATCTGTCCACATTACACATATACATATTTTCTTACAGTAAGAACAAATGGTCTAACAATATTATTTAATCTACTCTAATGATTTAATAATCCAACAAATGGTCTAACAATCTTATTTAATCTATTCTAATGATTTAATAATCCAGCAAACGGTCTAACAATCTTATTTAATCTACTCTAATGATTTAATAATCCAGCAAATGGTCTAACAATTTTATTTAATCTACTCTAATGATTTAATAATCCAGCAAATAGTCTAACAATCTTATTTAATCTACTCTAATGATTTAATAATCCAACAACGAAACGAAACGAAACGCAAATGAAAAAGGGAAGCTCACATTATCTATTAATATAAAATCTGGTAATCTCGATACAGTGTCTGGTATAGTTACTACAAATTTTACAATCTTAGAAACCTTTATTGCTAATCTCTGGGCAAAATGATCGGTCGAAGCGTGCCCTCCGTGGAAACGACGAACTGTAATCATGAGATCGCAATAAATTGTTAGTTACTTAAGAAGTAACAAAAACAACAGAATTAAACATTTTCGAACCGTCCAGATCTTAGAAATTCGACTGAAACACGGTTGCGGCGATCATCCGCGAAGACACGAATGTCTGCATTCGCACGAGCGCGGACCAGAACGCGGTGTTTTGTCTGGGTGATTGTTGCCCTTTCTTCGGAATTCTGTCGGCTCGTGTGTTCGAAACGATGAGTGGGTCGCCGATGGGTCCCGTTATGAGCAGAACCAGCGATAACTGTATTGGACGGATAACACGGTGCCTTATTACCGTCGTCCTGTACCGCCGGAGCCATTATCCAAGGGACCGGGAGTCGTGACGCCGGTCGCAACTACCGCGGCGTGTAATCGGTCGACGCGTTTTCTCGCGAAAAATTCCGGGGCTGCCCGGGCGACCCGCGAATTTCGAGCGGAATCACGACCGGTCAGGGAGGCAGATACTGCGACCAGCATTAACCGGGTTTTCGTGTCATAAGGACAGCCGCGTAATTCAAGGCTGCGATGCGCCGGCACACGCATCGCGTAACCGGTTGCTCCGATTTTTCTACAATTTCGAGCACGCGCGACCGTGCTCGAAAACGAAGCCGAACGAACCGGGCTTTCGCGCCGTTGGACGCCCGGTGAATTCGAAATGCCTTTCGAACAGGATCGCGAAACCGCTCCGAATTCGCCGGCTTCTGGCCCGCGCGAATTCAGGAGACCGTGGAACCGTCGGCGTGGCTGAAATCGTTGCTGTCAGCACAGAACCCTCTCGGAATCGGCGATGCTAAACGCCGAGGCGCGTTCGCCGAACGAGCGACACGTTTCTGCGCTCTGTTCTCGCAGCAACGGTACACCCGAAGTGTAGAATCGTAGAATTCGCGCCAAACGGTCAGAATGTTTGCGTACCACGAGCCACGGTACAATAACCTTGCGAAGATGCCCGCGAACGGGCTCGCCTCGATAATAGACCGCGAGAACGACCGCAATAATTATAAATTAGCCGGGAGTAAGATAGAGCTGACAGAGCCGGCGAACGGCTTCATCGCGGTTGTGCAACTGTTCCCAGCTATTCCACAAGATTCTATTTCGACGAAGGGGCAGGGGCGGGATAAATAAATAACGAACGCTTCGGCGAGGATGTAGGTGACAGCTGGCGACGATTATTCGCGACTCAGGCAACCGGCTCGACCGCTGTCGCGGACAAGAGGGACAAGTTCGTCTTCCGCGTGCTTCCATCTCGACTCGATCGCGGTCCGTTAAAGTTAAAACAACCCGGCCAAATAGGAATCGCCGACGTTTCTGTAACGTCCGGCTTTCGAATCCGAACGAACCGAGCCGTTCCTCGGATGGATCTCCGCTATGAAAAACCCGGGAGAACATTCGAAGATGTTCAATCTTGGCTTCGCGGCTCCCTAATGGAGCTCGTAATCTGTCCAGCGATTTTCTACTTTGCTCCTCGCTCGGAGAACGACGAACAGATTTAGTCTCTCTCTCTCTCTCTCTCTCTCTCTCTCTCTCTCTCTCTCTTTGGGTATTTAGGCTCGTCTATGGCTTCAGCTATTTTTTCCGCGAGATCTCTAGGTCGACTACAGGGTGCATGAAACAGAGTTAGGTTCTTAGGGTCGTCTATGGCTTCAGCTTATTTTTTCCGCGAAATCTCTAGGTCGACTAGAGAGTGAATGAAACAGAGTTGGGTCCTTACGCTCGTCTATGGCATCAGTTAATTTTTTCGCGAAATCTCTAGATCGACTAAATAGTGAATGAAACAGAATTGGGTCCTTAGGCTCGTCTATGGCTTCAGCTATTTTTTCCGTGAAATCTCTAGATCGACTAGAGAGTGCATGAAACAGAGTTGGGTGCTTAGGGTCGTCTATAGCTTCAGTTATTTTTTCTGCAAAATCTCTACGTCGACTAGAGAGTGCATGAAACAGAGTTGGGTGCTTAGGCTCGTCTATGGCATCAGTTTATTTTTCCGCGAAATCTCTAGGTCGACGTTTCTTCACGTTGCTCGACGTCCGATACCATCGATGATCATAACGGAGAAACCGTAGCCAGTGAAGGGGTGCTTCATTTAAGGGGTGTCGCCGGCAACGAACGTGCTACTAATTGAGATAATTAACCGAGCCGAGGTCGATCAAAGGAGCTGTTCACGAAAGTCTCCTCGAGGCGAGTTTGCGCCTGCGGTTTGTATTAGGGCTTACCGTTCCGAGAGCTCTCCATCGCCATGGAATAGTCTCCGCGCGCGACCTTGTAGTTGTGCAGTAGCGTCTGCCTGGTTGATTCGGGATCGATCGTCCTCGGCTGATGGTACCTGGCCGTCCTGCCTCCCGCCCACAGGTTCTTCGCGCTTCTCGATATCACGGCGCTACGAGAACGGTTGGTATCGATAACGGTATCGACGACGGCCTCGTAAAATTCCGTAAAAGGGAGAGCACTTACGACGGATACTGCTGGTTATTCGGGCCTATGCAGTCCATCGGGTCGGTGAGCGCGTCCCCCCAGGCGTACTTCAGACCCAGCCCGTTCCCTTCGCATTTCTTGGCGCCGTACACGTGGCCGCAGCTCGTGATAACGAGGATCAGACCGAGGTACCTGGACATCTGAAATCACAAGCAGAGAGACGCGTGAATGGAGTCGCTCGGCGAAGGACCGAGCCAGTTCGTTTTCGACGGGAGAACAGGGCGACGGGCGACGGAACTGGTTCGATTATAATAACAATGGGTTTTCGTGTACAGGGCGTTCCCCGAAACGAGACTGTTTGCGGCACGAAGTATGGAGGGTCGAGCGCGAAAACGAGCGAATCGTCTCACGTATCGAGGAGTCTCGGGCTTCCAGGATCCTATTAATGAGAAACTAATTACGCCGTTGAACGGCGGTTCATGAATAAAACAATGACGCCGTTGGCAGCGGACACGGGGATTACGGGGATCCGTACGGCTGAGAACGCGCGCTGTCACCGTGACAAGGTGCCACCGAGCACGGTCTCGAGACTCGAGTTCGCACGGGGTCAAGAGCAAGAGTAAACGACTCCGGCCGGACACCGCGGTGACCAGTCGCGAAAAAATCCGCCGAGTCCCCACCGAAAACTATCCTCGCTCTGGAAACAGGCTCGCAAAAACTTCGATTTAACTTAGCCGCTCGCTCGACTATGATCTGTTCTACTTTCTGCTACATATATACGTATCGAATAAGCGTAGATATTTCCACGTTGAATCAAATAGAGCAACGACAAATTAATAAGCCTCCGGAGAGTTTGTTGCAAACTGATCTCACCGTGAAACTTGCCGATGATATATTATAGGCTTGCAGATATCGCCGCGGATCCAGTCGAGCATTATAGGGTAAACGAAATAAAAATAGCGTGGATACGAACGGTTTCCTGTGTCCGAGAAACCCGCACGTGTCGTAAATGCACAAGGATCTAGTCAATCGACGTTCCGCGGTCGAGGAGATCATCGACACTTGAGAATCGTCTCTCATCGACTCCTTTTTCCCCTAATCGAGGCTCTCCGCCGGTGTTCCGTGTTTCACGGGCTGATGGCACCGAGGTATTCGCCACGTTTTTTTTTTCGCTTTCGAGCCTCTTGGACGACGGCGTCGCATCGCCGCGAGAGAGTGATGACCGGGCGCGATTAAGAATAACAATTAGCCTCGCGTGCACGATCGGCGTCGAACCCTGTACGGAGTTCGGGGTTTCTAGGTTGCCGGGTCCAGGTGTAACTTCCGTTACACGCGCGTTTGTCGCCGATCGAACGGGAGTGAAAGCACGCCGCTGTGGCCGATCGATAGAGGTCGATGTTCGGTTTCGAACGGCTCGCGAAATTCACGGCCGATGGATGGCTCGTCGACGGGTGTTCTCCACCGGTGATCCTTGACCGTCGGGAACGAACGATGCCAGCTGGACGGAAACGATAGCTTCGAGTCCGGCGAAGTGATAAATCGCGCGTGGGAAAAGGAAAGGAAGGAAATCATTAATGGGCGGGCACTCAAGGCTGGTCGTTGGCCGTGACCAGCGTCGCGTATCTGTTTCTTCAGGAAGCGTGCGACGGTGTTCTCAGCGTTCTGAGGCTGGTTCCTGAAGCTCTTCGTAGTCGCTCGAACGTCCGCGAATCAATTTTCCACGCGGCAGAGCTCGTTTCGAAGGCTGTTGCCACTTCAGAAATTGATCGACAATCGTTCGCTTTTGCGGTTCCATCGCGACGGTTTCGTTCGCATTCGATTACGCAACGGTCGAGAAAACAGTCGATTCGTTTAGAATTAATGGAAGCCAGACGAGTCTTGTTATCGCCGCAGGAAGACTATAATAATACACTCTTCCTGTTAGACGCACAACATCAAGATTTCATGAAAACTGGTTCAGATCGACTTCTCGTTGTAATTTCATCGGAGTACATTTACTCCGATCTAAGTACAGACGAACGGTCTTAAAAGCGGTAAATCCGCCCACGGGTACCAGAGAAACGCGCGTAATCGCTGCTGTAATCCCGAGCCTGAATTAGCAGAAACGTCGCGTAGCATTGACAGAAGAAGCTCTTCCGGGCGGCTAACAATGGCGGCGAATCTGGGATCGCGGCGAGATAATGAGCGAATTGTGTGGGAATGAATAAATTGCGGATTGAATAGTCACTGGATCGTGGAAACTGGAATAAACCCGCGGATCTTTCGGCCGAGCTAATTAAGACAATTCACAGTGGAGCCGCGGTATTTGATCAGCCTCTTTTTCGTCGCGAGAGTTTCGCACGCGAGTCGGCGCCGGATCAGGACGAGCAGCACGAGGATCGCGTTGTAATACGGCGGCGTGTAATTGCCGGGCTGATACCGATCGCGCGATAAAGCGGTTCGGATAAATATCTAGGGGGTTTATATCCGCGTGTCCGCGTCTCGAGGTATTATATAACGGCGATCCGAGCTAGCGAAGACGGGCGAAGACGGGGCCGAGGCGAGTCGCACGTGAGAATCACCTGAACTTGAGAGATCCGGGTGAACTTCCACCGGTCGCCTCGCTCACGGTAATTTAGGATCGGGCGAGGAACAATTATTCGTCGGCGGCACAACTTCTCACGTTGTTCCAGGTTCTTTTTGTTCGCCGGTTCCCTCTCGGAGTACTGTTAATATGCTAACGCGTCGCGGGAATAATTAACAGGCTATACCGGATCGCGATAACGATTCCGTAACGGGTCCGCCAGCCGGCTCTTCCAAGGGCGAAAAACCGTCGAACCGATACAGATCTCGCGGCAGAAAATGTTAGGGCAGCCTGGCTGTCGGACGGGGAAGAATCCGGGAAAGAACTGTGCTTCCGGCCGCGTCGTGAACAGATTCCCTGTGGACCATAAACGCGTCACGCAGCTGATTCTAACGGGAAAGATGAGCCGTCCAAAACCGTCCTCCTCCTCTCGCTTCGGCTGCTCTTTATCGAGTGTATACTGTGTTTATTCATCCTTGTCCCCGATAACGGTACAACCATTTCGGCGCTTCGTTTCGTGAATACATTATTCTAACTGTCAGCCGATCGACATTCCTCCCAATCCGCTGCCCAGAATTTTCATCTTATCTTGCTCTATACTTCTGCTAAACTGCGGTTCCTGAACTACGATGCGAACGAAACTTCTCGTTGATAGTGTTGCAGGCAATTTTTGATACCGTTGATAACTCGAACAGCTCGGAGAAAAGCTTTTGCTTTTACTTTTACTTCTTCGCGAGGGCTTCGAAGATGCGCTTCATTTTTTTTGAATGGAAATCCATCTTGCTTCGCAGCATTGGAAATACAGTGACATAACGTATGTTCGTTTAAATTTCGAGATTATTACATCGGTCTACGCTAAAAGGGCTGCTGAATCGATCGCTACAAAGAAGAACAAAGGTTCCAAGAGAATTGCACGGAGGCAAGCCAGTTGGCGGCAGGGCACCTAAACGTCGAACATTCGCCTCGGATAATAAACGTCCGGAGGATCTCGGCGGTCGTGGTACTCTAACTCAGGGGCAATAATCATTTTCGAGATGCTCCGTTGCTCTCGTACCTGCCCGGAATGTTTCCAACGGAGATCCCCGATGCTACCAAAGATTTACGCGCAGGCTGCGACGGAGCACGTGGCGTTCGTTCGTCGGTGGGTCAAATGCAATGATAATTATTTTCTCGTTTCCGCCTGGACCAACCTGTTCGGAACTTTAATTAGAGACCGCAGGGCGCGGGGAGGGATTTTCGTTTAAATTCTGTGCGAGTTTAATCCGTCTAATTTGGGGACCCGGACTTGTTGGAGAACATCGCGTATCCTTCGATCGATCCAGCGAACTCGTTAACGTTAGAACTATCACAAGAGTCAACACGATCTATTCGAGATTCGTGATAGTCACGTTTCAGCGGGCATCGACTGGAACCTCGGTTTCTAGAATTTTTATGAAATGTTCCCGCAGCTGTTCCTTTGGTGTCTGATAGTTCTAACGTTAATTTCGAGATTCAATTTGAAAATTTGATACTGCTCCGAGTTGGGGAGGGTCACTCACCGTGAGGAAGATCGATTCTGACACTGGCGCAAGGAGAATCCTTTTCTCGGTCCGTTGGCAGTGACTCGATCGATTGCGCGCCTTACATCAATCGACCGAAGGGCTCGAGAATCGAAGAAACGGGGCCACACGGGTCTCTTAAACACTGTACATGTCACTGCACCGGATACCGTGGGGTCGTACACCTCCTCCGTCTTCACAGGTGGATGTCCAGAGGTTGACTGTAGAATCGTAAGTAACCGCCTCTCTGTGCACTGGCAGAGCCAGGTAGAAAGGGGGGATGGGATGCGGAATATCGGCCCCTATTCTACCTCCGAACCGTTTATTTTTTCTCTTATTGGAGGAAATGCTTAAAGAGGAAACGAAAGAAGGTAACCCAGAACGACCTCGTTCACGCCCCGTCGCGAAATCTCGCCCGAAATTTTATAGGAACTTGCAGATTCTTCGATCTATAAATCGCTCAATAGCAAACTGAAGGTATCTTTCCTGCTTCGACAATTTTTGGGAATTTTCTGAAAGAAACGTATGGAGTATTTTAATCCCGAACTTCGTATGCTTGTCGATGACGTTAGAGGAATCTATTGAAACTTTTTAAAGCGATAGTAGTAATTTTTCTCAAAGTTCAAGCAGTGGTTGTAAGATCGTGCGAAAGGAAGTTGTACGAAAATACGAAGCATTTGTTGGACGCCGTGAAGATGTTTATAGGGTAAGAAGAAAAATACGGCATAATTACATAGTACGGCATAATTACGCTGTTTATATTTATTTCTCGATGACCATAATATCGTACAAAGATGCGTATTTTTAAATTAACAATGAAATTCAATTGAATGCGTACGTCTGAGTCATGCTGGTTCATCTCTTGTGTTTACACATAATGAAAGGCGATCAACTCCAGAAAAGTGATTGCATGTCAGATGGCTGTATAAAAAATGTCTATCGTCATTTGTATTTTTTATATAAATATTAGTCCTTTAAACGTCGCGATCTTCGTGTCTATTATCACTTCCGGGTCATCTTGTATCGTCGAACATTTATCTACTTACAAAGGAAACACAAGTGAACAGGTTCCTACTAGAGATCGTTATTTTTAAACGTGTATATTAAAAACACACGTATACACGCACACATCGTATACACGTATTTCAGTACGTATCATAATAAAAATACGTGTACCCGTGAATTATTTCACATACATTTAAATACACATATATTTATACAGATTCTTTAAATTAACACAATTTTTAGAATATCAATATTTATTTACGGAAGCTATGGTTCTACAAGTATCGAGGTTCATATATATGAATGAATCAAAACATCAATTTTATTAATTGTAGTATGGTCCGGAAATGATTAACATTGGCTTTTTTATATCAAAACAGAGATCTCGCTGAACAAATTTTGTCAATAGCAATTATATGTTAATAAAAACATTATAATAATTTGTTAAAATCATATATTGTGTTTGAGAAAAACAGTATATTACTTTGTTACGAAAAAATTATGTTCATTTGTTAAAAACATATGTTATATATTAAAAAAAACATGTTAATAAAAGCCATAGTCTTGAACATAAATTAATACCCAAATTCCAAAAATTACATTGCAATTTAATATTGAATTGAAATAAATATGTATTAATGCACATATAATACACGTGAAATAAAAGTGCATTTAAATATACGTAAAATAATCCACGGGTACATGTGTTCCTAATATGACACGTACTGAAGTACGTGTATTCGAAGTTCACGTGTGTTCAAATATACGTGAAATAAGAATCTCTAGTTTTTACTGCATGGGACTACAAAGTGGAAATGTAGAATGTAGAAAAATCTCACCCCGTCGGAATAAAAGCTTAAAAACGATAGACTACAGTCCAAAAGTAGATGATAAACTAATGTTTTGCGTGAAATTTCCTATCTATGCTAGGAACACTACGTTCACGAAATATGTTACATATTGCAATAAACAACGTTGAATATCTTATAATACAGACACTACCCGATATTGAGATAGCTTAGATTTAACTACACCTCTCGTATTAAAATAAATCAGTGATTTCACGAGTCTATCGAGCGGCAATTGGAAATTGCAGTCTTATAGATACTAATTGTTGGAGAACGGCAATCGCGTTGCCCAATAAGAACGAAGAACGTTCTTAAATTCGGGTCGCTTTACAGTAGCTGATTGATAGTTACGTCAATGTTACAGCTCAAAATATTTTGGAACGATTGCCTTGCTAAACGAAAGCTTAGACATTGCCTTAATATATTTTGTTTAACTAAACGTACCAGCTAATAATGTTTAAACATTTACATACACGCTTTATAATATGTCGTACTCAATCCTCGAACTTAATGGAATTGATGCTAGTATCTATTTGACCGCCGCGGTAGCTACCACGTTTTTTCTTCGTCTTCTCGTGACGAAATGACTTCCCTCTTGTGAACTTCAGGTCTTGATTCGCTTTTTCTCCCCAAGAGCCTCGTGCACCTTTCTGTTGAATCACAAATTCTCCTTTTAATCATTTCGACGGTTAGTCGAATAACTTGTAAACCGCAGGTCTCCATGCCAAAGAAAAATTTTATTATAAAAATGGAAAAATTGAATTTATTTACTTTAATCTGATATATGAGACATGAATGCATGAAGATCCGCAGTTTATTAATTAGTCTATTCCGCACTAACTGCTCCTCACCTTTGTACAAAATGTATATAATCAATCATCGAACGTTATTTTTTTATTTTGCGCTTGTGGACTATCGAAGGAATTCCTTTTGTCAAAACTACCCCTACCACCTCTGAATCCACCGCGACCACCCCTGTCGCCATCACCGTCACCCCACGATCTCCTGAATCCATCAGATTTGCCCCCTCCAAAGCCCTGACCACCCCACGATCTTCTGTTATCGTAACCACCCCGACCACGGCCTCCGAAATTATCTCGACCGCCTCTGTCGCCACCTCGACCGCCTCTGTCGCCACCTCGACCGCTCCTGAACCCTCCGCGACCACCTCTATCACCACCACCACCGCGACCACCCCTATCACCACCACCACCACGGCCACTCCTAAATCCTCCTCGTCCAAAACCACCGCCTCTTCCTCCACCAAATCCACCACCTCTACCTCCACCGAAACCACCCCTTCCACCATGTTTCTTTAAATCATCCTCTTCTTGATTTTCGCCCGTTTCCTAGAACAAAAGAGAAACTCAGGTCAGTCGCCGTTTCCGTTTTTCATTGAGCAATAAATATTTCGGACAATATATTTTCTCAAGAGCGTATTTGAAAAAGGTCGGTGAATGCACGGAAACATGGTCTCAAGCTATCTCAAAACGGCGAGTGACCTGTGCCTCTCGGATGTTTCCGAGCATTTACCTTTGCCTCAAATGAATTGTTCGCCAATTTCGGGTCCAAATCTACTTCTTCATCCTTTACGCGACGGAATGGGATATTTTTCGATTGCTAAACAAAAAATCTGGTAAATCATAATGTTTTCTTCAAAACAACGAGACACATTTATACCTTCTCGCCGTTGAAGCTGTTGTTGGATTTCACGAAGTTACTATAATTGTTTTTTTGTCCTTTCGTGGCCTGTGACTCCTCAGTCTGATCATTTCCATCTTCTTTGCGTTTTCTCTTTTCTGGTTTGAGTGGAGTTTTCGGTGCTACTTCTTCATCGGAGTCGCTATCATCCGAATCCGATTCTTCCTTAGTTGCTTGTTTTGGAGCGGCTCTAGCGATAGGCGCTGTCGTTGGTTTCTCATCTTCTGACGAATCTGAGTCAGAATCCTCGCTAGATGATTTTGCTTTAGCATTTGATTTTGCTACCACCTTTGCTTGCGCAGGAACTTTAGCAGGTGCTGCCTCTTCCTCAGAAGAATCATCAGAACTGGACGATTCCTTCTTCTTTGCTGCTGGTTTTACTGCAGGTGTAAGTGCTGGTGTTTTATCTTCGTCAGAATCAGAATCAGAATCGTCGCTGGAAGACTCTTTCTTAGTTGCAACTGCTTTAGCTGGCGTTGCTGTTTTAGCCGGTGTCGCTGTTTTAGCCGGCGTCGTTGCTTTAGCTGGTGTTACTGCTTTCTTTACAACTGGCTTAACCGTTGCTACCTTCACGGGTGTTTCTTCTTCGCTACTATCATCGCTAGAAGACTCGTCCTTTGCAACAGGTGCTTTTGGAGGAACTACCTTTTTAGGTGGAGGTTCATCCTCTTCTTCACTACTGTCGTCGCTAGACGATTCTTTCTTTTTAGCAGCCGCTTTCGTTACAACTGGTGTGGGAAGGACTTTAGGTTTCTTCTTTGGAGACTTCTCTTCTTCGCTGCTATCGTCACTGGAAGAAGACTCTTTTTTCGCAACTGGTCGTTTTGCAACTGTGCTCTGATTCTCAGGCTTGGCTGGTGTCTGCTTTTGTGGAACTGACTTTTTAATTTCTGGTACATTCTTTGCAACTGGAGTTTCTTCTTCTGAGGATTCATCGGAATCATCGCTAGAAGATTTTTTAGCAGGCGTTACTGCTGCCTTCGCTTGTGGTTTTCCTACAGGAGCGTTTGGTGTTTGTTTTACGGATGGTTCATCAGAATCGTCGGAGTCGTCGCTAGACGAAGATTCCTGTTTCTTTACTGGGGTCTTTACTTGTGTTGGAGTTGCTAGAGGTTTTTTCAAAATTGGTTTAACTGGACTCTCTTCTTCGCTACTATCTTCACTAGAAGACTTTTCTTTTTTACTGACAGGTTTTGCTGAAGGCTTTGTTACTACTTTAGCAGTCACACTTGCTTTCGTTTCCTCTGCACTATCTGAGTCAGAAGAATCATCAGAAGATTCTTGGGCTTTAGCTGTTGCTGCAGCAGCTTTGGGTGTAGATGCTGTTTTCGGCGTAGCCATTAGTTTGGGCGTAGATACTGATTTCGGTGTAGATACTGCTTTCGGTGTAGATACTGCTTTCGGTTGAAGTTTAATTGTCTTCTCTTCCTCGTCCGAAGAATCATCATCCGAACTCTCTTGTTTCTTTACCACTGATTTTACATCTGGCTTAGGTGTTGTTGCTACCTTTGGTGCTGGCTTTTCATCTTCGCTAGACGTATCATCCGAAGACTCTTCTTTTTTATTATTTGCTACAGCTTTAGCTGCAGCTTTGCCATTTACTTGTGCAACTTTCTTTGGAGCCTCATCTTCACTTTCTGAACTCGAGTCTGAACTGCTATCTTTAGCCTGGGCTTTTATATGTAATTTCTTGAGCGAAGTTTTTTGAAAATGCTGAAATACCTCTTGTATCGATGGCGCCCCTTTCGGCAGTGGGGGCTGAAAAAATGGAAGGACATGAGCGTCGTTCGAACTTGTATTTGTAAACACAATTTGAATTACCAAGACAAAAAATATTAGAACGGTCAAGCGTTAATATACTGTAAAAATAATAGTGAAGACCATGATAGTTAAGGTCAATTTCAACGGAAAATTCAATATAAAATAACGCTAATATTTCGCCCACGTGGTACAGCCAAATGGCGGCACTTCTTACACCGCATGGGCACCGGAGCCACAGTAATCGATTATTGCAAGTATATAGACAAATTTTTGTATAATCTTACCGCATTTGTTTTCTTTTGAAAAACCTTCGCCAATGAAGCGTCCTTTTTTAATAAATAATCGTGCACAAGGGCAGAAATACTCAGTTCTTCAGCGGATCCCATGGTAGAAGCGCGTGCAAAGTGCTGGGAAAATTAGCCGCAAGCCGCAATTGAACGAACGATGGAACGATCCAGCACGATCAGCCACGATGTTCACGCCTTTCGCTGCCAGTAGCGCTGCAATCGGTCATAGGTCATGCGGTATGTAGACTCGCAACTTCAGTAATGGAACCTACACCTGCACACTTTTCTTAATTCCTAAGCTGGCACGTACATCCGTACCATTTTACGGCACATCCAATACGCAGTGGATCCTGTCTCAGCAGTGAATCGTCAGCCAATCAAAACAAAGAAAATTTCTATACCGACCGTCGTTAACGGATCAATCTGTGGCCTGGAAGTGTGCAGAAGTAGGCTCCATTACTGTGCATATGCGATCATATTCTAATTGTTTGTGGAAAACTTTGTTAATTCAAAAATGTCGGACCGGTGATTGAGAGCATAACGTAAGTCCAATTATTTTATACGAAAAAGAGCATTTTGCATGTTTTTTGTATTAAAATTTTCATTCTGTCCGATAATAAGAATGACTGCGTTCAGTTGTTCATATCACAATATGATTTCTTATGTCGGATTAGTAACAAATACAAATAATCGCAATTACAGAGAATACGACTTTGATCGTTTCGAATTGTTCGAACTGTTCAAAACTTCATTGCAGTTTATTGGATTAAAGTACAAAAATGTATATGATATAAGACGACATATTTATGTAGTGTTATAATAATACAATTATTCAATATTACAAATATCATAATAACTACGATGCAATTTGCAATTCAGATCTTTTATTCGGACGACCAATGGGAGTACAGGAAGAGAACCTTTTGTATCTTTTAATTTAATTTCAACTATAAAGCCATTATTTTATAAATATATATTATATAAATATTTCACCTCAATATTTGAAGTGATAAACACAGTATATATCTTAAAAATTAATTTTAAATTAAAGTGACGTAATTGGCTTAAATTCTGCGTGTTCATAAACCTATGGAAATAATCCTTGTACTCTCTGATTGGTTAATTTCTGCTACTCGATTGCGCATTGGACGTTTTGAAAGTAATAAACCGGTTTTGTTGTAGTAACCCGTCAGGTGTTCACGTTTTTGAACGGAAGATTGACTTGTGGAGTTCCGTTTGAAGATACATTGCTCCCAAATAATGACGGAAACTCAGCAGAAAACAAAATGTATAACGTTGAAAGGCTCTGCGGAATTGGTTAAGCAATATCTTCGTAAGTTCTCCTCAAACTAATTTACATTGTTAATAATTTTGTTGCTTCAAGGAATTTGTTTCATTGTTTCAGTTTACGGTGTAAACAGTATTTTGTATCAAAGAGGCATTTATCCCCCAGAAACATTCGAACCAGCTGAGCATTTTGGTCTGTTCGTTTTAATGTCGACAGATGATAAAATTAAGGGGTTTTTAGACACTGTTCTTGGCCAAATCCAAGAGTGGTTGATTCAACGAAAAGTACAAAAGGTAACTCTGGTTATAACAAATGTGAATACCAAAGAAGTTTTAGAGAAGTGGGACTTCAAGGTTGACTACGAAGGTCAAACCTCCAATGGATTGAAAGACGCTACAAATACTGGTCTTCCGGATGTTGGAACAAAAGACTCAAAGACTATACAGAAGGAAATACGCGAAGTAATTCGTCAGATCACAGGTAATGATCTTTATCTCATAAACTTTGTAGATGTACATAGTAGATCACAGAAATAATAGTAAAACAAAAACTCGGCTTGCTTTCTTCATGGTTATTTTATTATCAGGAACTGTGAGCTTCCTTCCATTATTGGACTGTCTATGCTCTTTCGATATCTTGACCTACACTGTACCTGATTGCGGTATTCCAAAAGAATGGGACGAAACTCAACCAGTTATTATTGCCAATAGTCAAGAGGTTCAATTAAGATCATTCTCCACTTCCATTCATAAAATGGATACTATAGTTAGTTATAAGAATATCTAGGCTTAAGCGTCTTGCTATTAAAAGTCATTGAAACTCACTCGTGCTGGCTATTGTTGATTCCAATAATTATAATAATATTTAATGTTAAAGATTGCTATTTAAATCCTAATTGGTATGTAAGTGGTCAAATGCATAGGTCGTATAATTTTTAAGAGTTTGCATATGTGTATTGATTCTACTTTAGTATTGTCTAGTATTGTCTAAGAAGAGTTTTATAACAAATATATATTTTTTAACACAATTTATCGAACAATTTGCTTTATCAATAGATTGCAGATCTTTATGCAACTGGTCCATAGATCATTTTTTAAATATTAAATTGAGAGAAGAATTTCTTTAGTCGATAAAATGATTCATTATAGCAGAACTAAAAAGAATATGTTATTACTTATTTAAAATATAAGTGCCTTGTATTTTACAAATTTGCCACGAATGCATGAAGATGAGTAGTTTAATTATGGAATATCGATGCCTCGGATGGCCCTTTTGACAAATCCTACTATTCCTTCCTATACTGTTGTTCCTTCTATCTCCTTCTAGTCGCTACATCAATTGCAATTCACTCTAGTAATAAGCGAATAAAATCAGTACCTATTTATCAAACTATAGGGTTCATCGATGAATGAAGATTGTCTGAAATATTTTGGAGACTAGGGAGTGTCGTTCGGTAGCGTTGTAAGGAAGTTGTTCGTGGAATTCATGGAGAATGAAACGAAAGAATTGACAAGAATCTTGGCAGATTTTATTAAAACATAATTGACTATTACACTTAACACAGGAATTATATTATTTTACTTGGCAAAGCATGAAAGATACGACTAGAATAAAATATTCCTCGTGTCTCACATTCGTCACATACCAAATCGCAAGTAACGTCGTCAGCATTACATAAATGTTTAGATCGCGTGTACCGTTGCTCCGAAAACCTGTTGAACATCATTCCCATTTCGATGTACACACGACACGAATTCACGAAACAAACGTTATAATCCGATCATGAACGCAGGATCGAAACTAAATCCTCGGTAGCACGTACACGTGGACGACCAGGCGTCGTCTCTCGTTTAGTATAGAAGTGAACTCGGCTGCGATTCGAGTTCTCTCGCGACTCGAAATATGGAAATTCAATAGAAATCTCGCGTGTCTCTCGCGTTAAACTATGTTTCTCCACCATCCTTTTTCTCTTTCGAGGATGTCGAATAAATTGGTACTGGTCGTAAAACCGTTTTCCCCGGGGTGTGCCTATTGCACAGGGGAAGTCCTCACCGAGTCGGACCACTTCTCGTTCCACTTGTATTTTTTATTAGCTTTTTTTTTCATTTTCATTAGGAAACATCAACAGCGGCTTATGCTTTCGTTTAATACTTGCAGCGTTCGTTTTCCCTTACAACAATTTTCGCTATTAACTTCGTTAACGTACTTCGTGCTGCTAGAGTTTAGCCTTTACGGTCCATAGTGCACTTTCGTTTTCGCTATTAGACTATCGTTGGAACGCGGTCGTTAGCTCTCACGCATCGTACAAAATCGAAACGGCTCTGTCCCGGCCTTTTTTTCTCCCCCTCCTCCTCCGTTTTACTTTCTGACAATCGTTCGATCACTCGAGAAATCGTCTCTCTCTCTCTCTCTCTTTCTCCCTCTCCCTTTTTATCGGTCGCGATTCAAATTGCCGAGGGCGGACGGCACGTCCGTGATTAATCGTTTAAACACTGTACGCAAGCTTGAACGCTCCGGAATCTCACCTAGACTATTTAGATTCGCTTCGGTTCTCTCCTGGTTAGTTTACACACTGCAAAAGCTGCTGGAAATACGTTGAAGTTTATAAACATTACTAAACCGACTGGTCCGCCGTGAACTGTCTTCGTGACGCTTTGGGGGTTGCTAATTGTCGGCTGGTTTATTTCAGTGCTCGCCAAACTTGCTACCATTTCGCACCCATTCCACAATTTACCCTTACCCCCCTCTACATTGCTTAACGTAACCATTTCAAGATTTAGCTGATCTATCGTTTCAGTCTTTCCGATCTCGCGAAGCAAAATTGTAGACGTATATACAGAACCGACGCCATTCCTGATTTCGGTGGTTTTTCATCTCCCAGGTGGAATTTCCTCAAACGAATAATGGAAACCAATCTTGCTGCAACCTGTACACATTTAATTTTCATTTAATCGGAACAGAATTTGCGGCAGATTGGATTTTCTTAAGATACGCAGATCGCAGAAATAAAATCGATCAAAGGGTAGTGTGGCACACTTTGGCGAGCACTGGTCTAGCAGATTGGTCTTTCTACGGAATTCACGGGTTGCGAACGTCGTTTCCGATTTCTGTGGATATTTCTGTGGACATTTGGGGTTCGTTGGCTCAGCGTGATCGCGGCTCCGGTGAAAAGAAAAGCGGATAGTCTCTGGTTCGTTCGTCACAATGACTAGGCACAGCACCGCGGACCAGAACGAGTGTCGTGTCGCTATAACATTACGCGATAATTCTCTTGAGTACCGTAAAAACGCGTCTCCTAGTAAAAACAATGAAAAATAAATAACGCGAAACAATATACAATATTTTACAGTAGCGCGTAGTGGTTTCCTTCATTCGTGTCAGGGCGACATTCTCGCAGCTCGGTGGTGTTCATCGATCATTGATCATCGAGAGATTGGTCGCGTTCCCTCGTGCGATCCTCGTCACAGGATCGCGACCGACGACCGTCGATCGGTGAATTTAACTATTAATCAACATTCGGTTACGATCGTCGTTCAAGGGCCCGGTTCGCGTCGAGATGTCTCGTCTGAACCCCTTTGTGGACCGTGCGACGCGACGCACCTCGTGTCCTCGTTCTTTATACACCTCTACTTAAGTTTACCTTGGACTAATCGCTATACTTCGATTTACGTTTTGTTCTTTTATGCGTAAAATATCATAAAATACATTCCTCTTTTCTTCGCTATGACTGGGCCCCGCGATCCGCTCGGCGCACCGGGGCTCCCTCGATCCTCCGAATCGACGCTTTCTCTTCTCTCCTCTCGTACTCTTTCTTTGTTACTTTGTTTTGTGTTTTTTAGCAGGAACGTTAACCGAGAGCTCTCTCCAGCCCTCGTCCCCGTGCTCGCGAATCATCGTCACCCCGCGAAAGATCAGACAGACGTTATAGAAACTATGTTAGCGTTGTCCCGGGAGGACGCACCGGGCGGAACGCGGGGCCGTCGATGACTTACGATGACTTTCATACAAATCGTTCGGTGGGTACGAGCGACGTGAAATGAACTCGTAACGGAAAAGCACGGCGGCACTAGTAAGCTTGCACGGACATCATACGCTACCATGATATATTCATCTCGTCTCTGAAAAAGTCTTTGGTGTGTCGCTAGAGTGGCGAAAGTACTTCCTCTCTTCCCTCTCTCTCTCTCTCTCTCTCTCTTTCTCTCCCTCTTTCTCTCTCCCTCCCTCTCTCTCTTTCTCTCTCGCTTATTTTTCCCAGTTGTTGGGAACACTCTGCTCGCTCGTTCGTACGGCAATCTATCTATACGGTATAATTGTTTTCATACCTCTAGAAATGTAAAAAGTAGGGGCGCGTGCGCTCGCCGATCGACGTCGACGCGAATCCGCGAATTGTTCTGCGTTTTTCACAAACTACATACTCGTCAACGGAAAGGTTCGCTTTTAACGCTGGAAATAATCGTATCGTCCCTTAATCGGCGCTTCAACCCTTTGCGATCCTATGATTTCGACGATGTACATGATCAATGCCATAGTTACACGGTATGTAAGAACAATTGTATTTTTCAATTGTTCCGATTAGGTTATGAAGTCGCGTGTGGGAGTACGAATGAATGTTACAGCAATCTTTGAAATGAAAGTGAGGGAACTGTTTCGACCGCAAAGGGTTAATTCATGATGTTGAATCTCGTCGATGATATTCAATCGAAGAGAGCAAACGTTGCTCTCTACGAAAGAAAATATTAAATAATTCGAATTATCTCTCGATTGTCAACCAGGGATAAGTCAATAATTGTTTCGACGTTCTCCGAACGCGATCAACGCGTCGCCGACTGAAAAAATTAGCTCGGAATTCTGCCGGCCAGCGTCCAACGAAACTGGGCTGGTTCTGAGGTGTGGAAAAGCTCGCATTCGACGTCTCGATCGATCGGCAGTCGGTGCACACGCGCCGCACCGGGGGATACAAGGAATACTTTGTACAAGAGCGTCCTGGACGCGTCTGAACGCACGCTTCGACGAACTGTCGCTGCGAAACCGAGGAGCACCTTCCTCTGCGGATTTGTTTGCGATTTAAACCATCAGCCGGATCTCCGAGGCAGCCGACACTTAATTGATTCGAGCCGCGCGCAGTTCTCTCTTGCAAATATCAGCCGATACGATGGAATGTTTCCGATCGAGTGGCAGGGGTATCGTTCTTTTTTGTGACCGAGGCCGGGAATGAATAACGACTAGAGCACTAGAGGTTCGTCTCGCTCGTCTGGCTCGATACAAGGGCTGCCGGGAAACAGCGGAACGAGATTGCAGCCCCGTTATACGGGGACAATGAAAACCTTCCGGAATTGTCCGAATCTACGCCGGCTCTTGCAATTACGTCTCCGCCTCGAAGACGCCGGCCGCAACGTAGGGAGGACTCGTTGATCCCGGAAATCCTATTACAAGATCCGAGATCGTCCGGACGACGAGTCCTTCTTTCCGCGATCCCGTAAAACGAAATCGTCGCGTCCACGTGGCTCTGTGTAACGATCCGCACGTGCTCACTCAGAAGGTTTACGACCCTTCACCCTCTCCCCAGCCTCTCTCCATCGCCCTTCGACTTTCTCCTGCCTCGTCCCGGATTTAGAAACAAAAATGAAAGTCCGTCCGTCAACGGAGACCATGATTGTCGCCGGGGAAACCACCAGCCGCTTCCTCGAGAAAGAGATGATCGAGTCTCGACGGTCGTTTTAATTTCCGGCCGGCTCGAATGATCCGGCCGAGCCCTTCGGGCGGCAAATTGAAGTCTCTGAAGCTCGCAGCCTGGAAAAGCTGTGGCGCCGCGAGGATATTTTTCCTCGTGCACGCGCGGTTACGTTTGTGCCGTGTTTTCCGAGCCTTTGGCGAGAGAAATCGAAGCGGGGACGCAAAGAGGGTGGTTCTTTTTTTTTTCTTGGTGTTTTCGAACGTCGAATTCAACCGCGGCGACCCTTTCCCGTCTGCGAACACGTTGTTTTCGGTCGATGGCTTGTGCTCGGCCAGATCTCCTTCGTTCTTGCTCGCAGCTCGCTTAATATCCCGTCGACTCGCTCGACGACGATGATTCTGCAATGGAAAGAAAGATTTAATCGGTCGGCTGCGGGTTAAGGTTCTCAATATTTTTAACCATTCAAATATTGCGCGATTAAGTCACGCACCAATCTAGTATTTAGTGGATACATATTTACATATTTGTAGATATAAGGTAACTGGTTGAAGAGAGTATAAAAATGTGGACGAAAGATGGGAATTCAAATTAATCAAATTCATTTATTAGGAGTAAAAGGTATAACGAAAATCAATTGAATCAATTTGAATTTGGACGATTAACACGTTTATATCAGGTTCAATTTTTGTCAATTTGAAACGCGAGTCAGGTTCAAATTTTAACTTTAATCCTGTTTCATATAAATATATAGATATAAATGGAAGCAAAAATTTCGTCGGGTACTTTCCAAAGCGACTTTAAATTTCCAGTTCCTTCAAATATATTTCTACCTAACGTAATTTCTATTTACGTATATTTCTACGAAACTCTGATTTTTACGTCCCCTAATAAGCCTCTTCGGCGTCCACGTTGGGAAACTATGTCCCAGAATCTTCCGAGATTGATCCTCCGTACAATCAGAGGTTCGTAGATTGTTCCCGAGGGACTTTCGAAGGACTTAAGGTAATTCTCGAAGGGACAGCCAGATGACCTTAGCCGGTCCCTTAGGAAGATCATCCAAGGGTTAAGCTTGACACTAAGGGTGGCCTTGGATGCCTTGGATTTCCGGGCTCGCGTCACGGACGTACTATTTATCATATAGAAACGTAAATCTCGGGCGAAAATTGGATCTCACGAAAATCTAGTGCGATTATTTAGCGAAACTAAATTACCTGCTGAGAACGATCCGAGTGATCGCGGGTGCCGATCGCTAGGTCCTAGGCTCCGGGCATCGTTCGGTCTAGTTCAGTCGGGAATGCATGCTCCTCGGCGATAGTTCGTGCGAGCTACTTGGCGTCGTTGGTCGGTAGACGGTCCAGGATGCAGGACTCGCGTAAATGACGTTGGTCGGTGAATCGCTTCATCTCCTGGGGCTCTCCTGCGACAGGAAGTAGCCGTCGAAATTATTCGTGGACCGCGAAAGGTACCGGGTGACGCGCTCGCTCGGGCCCCGGACTTTCCGGCCTAATTAGCCCGGATCCATTAAGTTTATCTGGGGGCATCGGGGCCGCCAAGTTCCCTTGGGGAGCAGACGCCGTAGGAGGAAAGTTCGGTCAACGGGCGGCAGAGATAACTCTAGACTAAGTAGCGAATGATTAAGCCGGAACACCGTAGATCGTATGTTTCTACCGCAGCCATCCGAACTACGACCCTAAGTAACAATTAGCCCGTTTCACTGAATCTCCGCGCTTAAGAGCCTGCGGTGCCGAGGCCTGCAGAGATTCTACGTGACGAGCATCCCGAAAACCATCGAAAACCCCACCGTTTTTAAAGCCACGTACACTTCGAGATCGATCCCGGATTACCCTGCCCTCGGTGAAAATGATTTAACGTCCATGGGGCAAACTTGTGTTGCAACCAGAGATACCCAAGTTCATCTGTATTTAAAGCACACGTGTAATTAATGAGTCCGGGTTACAGTTGCACTGTAATACACGTGTAATTAATACAGCCGTGGTACATGTGTCTCGAAATGCACGGATAACACACGGGCCGTGCATTGAAATATACAGCAGTTAACGTATTAGAAATATCTATATTTTTTTAGATATGCTCGCGCGCAGCATGACTAAATATCCGAATGTTAGATATTCGCGCAACTAATTCGTGATCCACGATGCATCAATCGATAGGATAAAAAGAAGGATATATTCGTTACACGTGTACACTTTCGATATCGTGATCTCTAGTTGCAATATTTAGCGAAACTGCCAAGTACACTGCACTTTTTAATTCCAGAAATCCAATACTCTCCCAATAGTTCGTATATTCCTGCATCGTGTTCGAACGCTTTCCGCACTACCGAGCAAACATGTTCGCGTTCGTATGTATTTGAAAAGCGACTCTCCTACTAGTTCGTTCAATTAATTGTAAAAGGTTCTACGCATGTTTGATTGCATTTTATAAATCATTCGAGATTAATACATCTAAAGTGGAAAGTTTAAATTCGCCTTAAGGAGGCAACAGCTCCTTCGTTTCGCTTTCCACGTATCGAGAAGAATCGTCGGAGGCAGTTCGTTAGCGTAGCTTTTATCTAGCACAGAATCGAAATTAAAAACAGCAATTCGTGCGGTAAAATATTGTTTACTTTTGCGGGAGCCGTCGGATCTTTTGAAGCGGAAACTCGCAGCCCCGCTTAAAGGGGAAAAGAAACGTCGGCGTATATGCAAATTAACGCGGCGCTGATCCTCGCGACGATCGGGGTGCGAGCAAACAGAATCAGTAATAGATGCGGTCGACAAATTCGTTTTTGCGGGGCGCTGAGGGCTCGATAATGGTCTTTACTTCTAATTAGCACGGGCCATTAGGTTTATCTATGATCGTTAAAGTCACCGGGACCGGTCGTTCTTGTTCCAGCTGGCGACCCAACGATTCGCGCGCGTCGAATTCGCTTGCAATTATCAGCTACACGATCATCATCGGCGACGCCCAGCGTCGGCCAGCCTCGGTCGCGGAGCGGCGATTAAAAAATAATTCTCGGTCGGCGCCCGCGCGAAACAAAGCGGGAAATTTAATTTTTATCTCTCCCTGGTCGCCCTCGAGGGACGGTCGTTACAATTTGTCCGAGTAATTGATTTCGATTGTCAAAGAACAGACGCGGGGCTCGCTCGTGTAACGGGTCTTTGTCCGGCATCGCTTGCCCCTGCCGATTACCTATCCCTCGGAGCCCTTTCCATCGAGCGATTTTAATTGTCGTTAATTCCCTCGCTTACTTTTCATCGTCGCCGAGTATACTCCGCAACGGCCCCGGGACCGGCTAACGAGTTTCGCTAACGCGGTTTCCCTAATACGCGATAGTCAGCACTTGTACCGGTCCCCGGATTCGTAACTCGCAAGTGTGTCCTATAGCTGGTATAGAGCGCATCGGCTTTGGAACCGTACTAAGTTAGCCGGGTTACCGCGCGTTGAGTAGTTTGCAAGTCCATTATAGTGGCGTTAAGGGCGCGTATCTTGCACACGTTGCAAACCGTCTCACACCTCTAAATCTTCGCGGGCCACCGATAGGTGCCCGGCTATCCAACAAAACTCTGGAATCTGCTTTCTTCGACGATGCTACGAAAGACTCCCCGCGAATTCAAGATCCGTCCCCATTGAATTCAGCTTCTCCTCACATTTTCCTATGTCCCACAATCCCAGAAATACGTCCGCGAAGTATCCGCAACGATATACGTAAGACTCCACGAGCTCGCGCGGCTTTCATCGACTGCAGCTCTTCGAATTCTCAACGGTACTACTTGCAAAAATTCACAGTGTTGCCTCAAAACATGCTGGAATATACGCGTGAAGTATTATTCAGCGGAGGGTTGTAGTTTTTGTTGAATAAATTCGCGAACGTACGAATACTCGGCTGGTATCTTCTCCCTTAAGATCGGTCGAACAAATCGTCGACCCGTAATACCGTGTGCAGGCGCGCGAACGAGGTTGCAAAAATTCTGAGTGTAACATTAAACTCGCCAGAACAAATCTGTGAAATCTCGTAAACCGACAGTTTATATACAGTGCAATTTTTATCGCTTAAATTTTCGTTATCCGAAAATCGACAACGTTCGACGGCGTTGATGTAATTCGACGATCGAGCGAACAAACCGTTGATTATACCGCGTGCGTGGAAGGTCGAACGATTTTCCCGAAGCCTCTTTTCAACGTCAGGGAGTACGCGGGCAACGATTTTTCCCCGACGATCGTTGCGAGCCCTTTTTCTCGCGAGGCGTTCGAGCTCGCGTTTCGGGCTTCGCTCTCTCTTTTTTATTCCCAGCGAGCTTTTTTCCACGGTGCAGAGGTTGCAGAGGTTGCAGCAGCAGCGAGTTAGGAAAGAGCTCCGGATATCGCGAACCTCATATCCCAGGGCACTCTTTTCCCAACGTTTCGCCCGCCCTTCTCCCCTCGGTCTCTCCCGTCTGCTCTCCGGCTGCGTTCCCTCTCGCGAAACGACCAATCCTCCGCGCTCCTCTGCGATGCGCCGCTATCTAAGGACTCCGGGGATAGCTGCTGGATATTACACATTGGGTTCCTCGTTTATTAATCTTCGAATTACTTCCGGCCGGGTCACCGGGAAACGTTTCCGTACTGTCGGCGAACGACGCGGAACCCTAGACAACCAAAAACGATTTTTCGCCGCGCGAATGTTTTCGCGTCGCCCTCGACGCTGTTCGATAGCTGTCACCGTCGGAAGTTCTCGCAGCTTTAATCTGCTCGTTTCGTGGAATACAAGCGCGTCTCGTGGTCAACGGAAGCGAGCCATCCGATAAAAATTGCATCGATAATGAAATCGTTGCACACCGGATTTCCCCGATTTTATCAGGAACAGATTTTCATTTTCTCCGGCTGCTGGGCAATCCTCCTGCACAAAACGATCTGGAAAAGGAGGATATTGAAAGCGACTTCCAGCAATTTCTTTACCTCGGAGATTCTTTTCTTGAGAGTTGATGCAATCAATTCTCTTGTAATAGGTTTGCGGTCGTCCTTTGAAATGAAACTGTTCGCTCTCCGCGAAGTTCTGTTTTTAAAACTGCGAGAACTTGCTTCGCGGGAAACGGTCGGGAGAGATCGACGATAAGCCGACGGAATAATCGGAAATGGAAGGTTCTGGCTTACCTTTGGGAATCGATGGCGTGGCCGGACGATCGTCGCAAGTTCGACGCGAGACGGCGGCGACGACGACGACGACGACGACGACGATGAAGAAGTAGAAGTAGAAATAGAGGGCGGAGGAGACGCGGACGCGAGATGGGAGAAGTGTGAGGAATAAACGAGGGAATGTCGCGGGAAACAATAAACCGCGAACCCTCGAGAAATTCCGGTTGGTCGAGGAACGGGGACGCCGCGTAGGGAAATCGAGAGCCCGAGGAGAGCGAAGAAGACGAGGACGCGTACGTAGGAACATGAACGGGTGGCGTTGGGAAGGGATGTGGGTGAGGCTACAACAAAACAAAACACGATGAATGTCCCGATGTGCAAGCTGCAAGCATAACAACGTCAAGAAGATCGATGGTTAGTCTTTGTCGCAGTACGCTCGCGTCCGCGAATTGCCTGGATAGATGGGCTCGATAACGCCGCGATAAATCCGTGAGCGACGGTTCAATGTAACGTCCCGATCGAGTCGAATGATCCAGGGATCTCCGAGGGATCTCTGTCCAGACAATCCACCGTCGCGGCGGTTGATCGGGAATTAGTGGCGACGCAGAGAATCAGTCACCTAACTCTGACACCTTTCCAACAACCGCAATTTGTTTGCCCTTTAATTCGTTTCGAGGATCTCTCTCTCTCTCTCTCTCTCTCTCCCAGCGATTACAAAAATCCTCTCTGCTGAAAATACTAGAACTACGTTTATCCGAATCTTTATTACACGTTCCTGCAATTATGTATAATTCGGATGATCGAGATTCTGCTATACTTCGTATCCTAAATCAACAAGTTATCCGAAGCAATGAGCTCCGACGACCTCCTTCGAGGTTATTAGTTAAAAGCGAATGATTAATCTCCGTTCAAACATAGCGCGGTCAGCAAAAAGCCTATTAATAGGCTTCCAGTAACCGAAACGTTAAGCAGAGTATTTNGACGACGACGACGACGACGACGACGATGAAGAAGTAGAAGTAGAAATAGAGGGCGGAGGAGACGCGGACGCGAGATGGGAGAAGTGTGAGGAATAAACGAGGGAATGTCGCGGGAAACAATAAACCGCGAACCCTCGAGAAATTCCGGTTGGTCGAGGAACGGGGACGCCGCGTAGGGAAATCGAGAGCCCGAGGAGAGCGAAGAAGACGAGGACGCGTACGTAGGAACATGAACGGGTGGCGTTGGGAAGGGATGTGGGTGAGGCTACAACAAAACAAAACACGATGAATGTCCCGATGTGCAAGCTGCAAGCATAACAACGTCAAGAAGATCGATGGTTAGTCTTTGTCGCAGTACGCTCGCGTCCGCGAATTGCCTGGATAGATGGGCTCGATAACGCCGCGATAAATCCGTGAGCGACGGTTCAATGTAACGTCCCGATCGAGTCGAATGATCCAGGGATCTCCGAGGGATCTCTGTCCAGACAATCCACCGTCGCGGCGGTTGATCGGGAATTAGTGGCGACGCAGAGAATCAGTCACCTAACTCTGACACCTTTCCAACAACCGCAATTTGTTTGCCCTTTAATTCGTTTCGAGGATCTCTCTCTCTCTCTCTCTCTCTCTCTCCCAGCGATTACAAAAATCCTCTCTGCTGAAAATACTAGAACTACGTTTATCCGAATCTTTATTACACGTTCCTGCAATTATGTATAATTCGGATGATCGAGATTCTGCTATACTTCGTATCCTAAATCAACAAGTTATCCGAAGCAATGAGCTCCGACGACCTCCTTCGAGGTTATTAGTTAAAAGCGAATGATTAATCTCCGTTCAAACATAGCGCGGTCAGCAAAAAGCCTATTAATAGGCTTCCAGTAACCGAAACGTTAAGCAGAGTATTTAAGCCGGTATTCTATAAATATTTTGCAATGACGCTCAAAACGGGAGTAACGGTACTCTAAAACTTGGACGACTCATTCCGTGGAACATACATATTATTAGAAAGCAAATCGATGCGGACAGGGTTCGTTAGCATAGAGACTACGTTGTTAACAGTGAAATTTACCTTGACAGTGCCGCTAGATGCGCTAGAAGCGGGCGAGCGTCACGTCCTCGGCGAACGAAGAGAACTTATCCATATCTTCCGTTAGCGTGAACAAGAGAAGCCCATTAATTACGAACAGAGGAAAGGCGTGGTTAGTTCGGTGGCTTCGGTGATTCTTCGTTTCGATTCGGATCGGTTTCGAGCGGCCTCTCTACGCGATAAGAGAAATATCTACGGTGTTCCCGAATCGATCGAAGGAATCGCCGTAGCCGGGAGAGGAAATTCTGCGGAGCTTTCGATTCTTTTTTCCGGCTGTTTCTCTCTGTTTTTGCGAGAAAGCGCGGGATTCGGTCTCGTACTACAGCAGCGGTCGTCTTACGAGCTCTTCAGGGCTCTCTCTCTTGGTCGGTCCTCGAGAGAGGAGCGAACTCGAGAGAGCTAGCACACGGGGTCGAGAAACGGTCATAGTTCTATTTCCGTCGCTCGTGAATCATTCCCGCTTCACCTATCTCTCCTAACGCCGAGCGTATAACGCCGTTATACGGGCCCGCTGAAAGATGGCGCGTCCCTGATAAAGTTCCTCCGAGGACGATTTCATAGGGTCGAACTAACCCGCGGCCCGGCGAAACTTTCGCGACGGGAAAGAAGAACGCTTCCCCCTCCGCCCGCCCCGCGGCCCGCGAACTCTTCACGCCGCCGTGCCGCGTGTTTTTATTCGAGGGAGAGAAGATCCTCTCACCCTCCCTCTCTCGAGAAGTCAAAGTTTGGGGGTCGCAGAAACGGCGCGGCGGCCCCGCTGAAACAGATCGATATTTCGAGCCGACTCTCGCGGTCGAAATGAAATTTCATTCGTACCCAGAGACCACCGGGTCGCCGACAACCGTCGACGGCGCGTCGTTACGACGGAAACTTGGCCTGGGGATCGCCACTAAACGGTCCGTTTCCGGACCTCCGACGCAATAAATTCCGGCCCGGTGATGTTCTCGCAGCCGTTGGGAATCGCTTTAACGATGTACAGTCTTGTCGAAGTTCCCCCGTTGAAAATATCCGAGCGCGCGCGCGGCCGGGATCGCAGGACGCGTTTGTACGGGCCAAGAGCTCCCGGCCGCGATTTTATCGGCGCTACCGGCCGTTAATAATATTCGCGGCGAATTGCCGATCGTCGGGAAAGTAAGCGCGATCCCCCGAAATCCCAGCGCAACAATCTATTAGCCCCGTTTCCCGCAAACCCGCTCGCTGATAGTTGAGCGCGATTCGTTGCATCGTAGCCGGATTATGCGCGGCCCAATTCGTGGGATTAAGCGATTTCAATTAACCAAAAATTACGCGATGGTATTACTCGGGACCGGCCCAACGCGGCCCGCTCTGGGCGCAACACATGCTTGGGGAGCAGCACGGAGATCCGCAACCCCCAAGATCCCGATCTCGCTCGCTCGATCGGCCAGCTACGCGCCAGCCGTGTTTAGGACTTGGGGGCCACGATAACCTGGCCACGGTAATGCGTATCAGACTACATTTCACGGTTGATCGAGACCCGGCACGCCGCCATAGACAATTTCCCAAAGGGTTCTAGAGCGATATAATGGGCCGGGCCGGGCCGCGCCGGGTCGGGCCGCAGGTATATACACGTGGCCACCGTAACTCTATCGCATTACGGTTAACCCGACCAGTAAGAGGCTGCTGCTAGATGCCGGCTAGTTCTCCGGGAGTGAATTCGTCAATGGCTCGTCGATGCTCCCACTCGAGGATAACCTCGACCGGCTGGCTGGCCACTCGAGCAGCCAATTCGCAAAATTGTAGTTCGTGGCACGTAGGTCGATCGTGCCTCGTCACTTCGCAATCTTGCCTTCTCTTCTTCGATCTAACCTCGTGGTGGCTCCTCTCTGCGCCATAACTTCTGGCTCCGTTGTATCCCGCGAGAACTTGTCCAGTTATTCCTCTGGACTGCGCGAATTCGGCATCGATGACGGTAGAAGGCTAACATTGTTCCGATAGAGTATCTCGAGTAGGCGTGGCTTCGTTGCCCGTGATCGAGATAATGAGAGCAACGTTCTATAGAACAGTCCGAGCTTTTAGAGCGCCCGGCAATGCCCGCGAACGGTATTAAAGTAGAGACTCCAATCCGCTGGCGGCATAAATAATATATGTATATGGGGCTTTGCGTATGTAGCGTTCTGAGTGGACGTGGCTTCGTTGTTCCTTGTTTCGATGGAAGTAGGATAGAGTTTCGTAGAGCAATCTTTGTTACTTAGGTTCCATACAGGGTGTCCCAGCATCGACGGTACAACCGAGGAGGGGGTGATTCTACTTAAAAATTCAAATCGAAAGTAAGGGACAACAGTTTTTTAATCGAGGCTTTAGCATTCAGTCGAGGCTGAGAATATTCAGCATTTTCAACCATTTTGCAATTAATAAAGTAAGTTAGTAACTAAATCGCATGTGTCTCGTTTTCATTTAAATCCACTCTAAATCCATAGGCAAAAATAAATGACAGCACATCATGTTGATACTAATGGTGTTAGTACTATTTATAAGTGACATATGAATTTTAGAGATCCACCCATCTAAACCATATTACGAGCACGCGTACTCGTTGATTATTCAAAGTCGATTTTCGCGACAGCGATGTCGCAAATGAATTATTCTTATTCCTTATTTTCGATTTGCTATTTTGTCGAACCATCCCCGTCTCGATTATACCACTATGCTGGGTCACCCTATATAAGGTGTTTTTGATGGGCCCAATTTTAAACAACAATCTATCGTCATCCCTAAAAACTCCATCCCCGAATACAATAATATCTCCCTAATTGACCCTCACATCGTCCACAAAGATGGACAATTTGGGAAGAGGAGATACGATTATTCGAGCCTTGCGGCTCATTTTTTTAGTTACTGACAATCGGTAATTATAAAAAACGAGTTGCAAGGCTCGAATAATCGCGTCTCCTCTTCTCAAATTGTCTATTTTAGTGCACAATTTCGGCGACAATGAGGGAGACATTACTGTACCTTCGTCTCGTGTAGAGTATCTCGAATGGAAGTCGCACCCTTGCTCCCAGTTACAACAGAACCAATTTATGTTCTCTATCGTTCCAAAGTCTATCGCTCCCTTGATGATCCAGGTTCCCGAAGACAAAAATACCCTAGTCCTGCCTGAACAGTCTAAAATGGGCGTGGTTTCTCGGCTCCGGATTTGAACGCAGCTAACGCAACGTCCCACAGAGTGTCTATACACTGCCCCGCAGTACATTCTAGCTGGCTCCGGCGGTCGCTTGGCTGGACACCGAAAATCCTCGAGGTCGTTACAGTTTAATGCGTCGAGCGGCGTCGTAATGCGGATTCATTGTCGACGAAAGCGTCCGGCCCGGCTCACTCGGTCGTGTAAACATTGCGTACTCTCAGCGACGACGACGCCGGCCAGCAAGGAGTCGTACGACCGTCTCGAACCCGTATCCTCAGTCTCCTTACATCCGAGCACAGTTCCCTCTCGGGACATATGTCCTTATACCGTCTCCGTGAGCTTTAATGAAACCCATAAAGCGTTCTCTAGATCGCACTTGCGGCGCTGTAGCTGGCTATCACTGGTTTACTCGATGGGACGGTTCCTAGCCAGCGGCTCGGTCACCCGGCTGCTTTCCACGAGAGAGGGAATCATCGTTTACGGAGACGCTGTGCTGGAAAAACCGATAAATTCTTCGCTAATTTCCTTCACCCGAAATACCGACCCCAATCTGTTCCTGATATGTTCTTCGAAGCATGCGAAAATCGTCATGTTTTGTTAGAACGTGTATTACGGTATTTGGTTGAGAATACGACACCGATGTCCGATTTTCGACCATCTTTAGTGACTAGGTCTTTCTTTTTCATCTAAACCATCAGGATCGCTTCTGTAGGATTCAGAATGTACTTCAGGGTATCTTAAGGCGAACTTAGAATGATTCATCCGCAGTGAAAAGTGCAAATACAGTAAATTGGACAATTGGGATGGAGGAGCAATTTGGGAGGAAGAGATATGATTATTCGAGCCTTGCGACAGGTTTTCATACAATAGTTACCGATTGTCAACGACTATAAAAACGAGACGCAACGCTTGAATAATCGTATCTCCTCTTCCCAAACTGTCCATTTTTGTGCGCAATCTGAACGCGAATTAGAGAGAAATTACTGTATTATTTTCATCTGCATTTCTTCCGAAGTGAACATCCAAAGTGCACAGAGAACGAAATAGAGCCGAGCTCTACTTTCGATTAATTGAATATGCATCCATGGATGATTCATTTATATTGCAAATTCTAAATTCGCTTTTACACAGCGAGCGAGATTCATTCGCCCTTCTTCCTTCAAACAGTACAGATTCACTTGTTTTATCGTATCTTAAATAGTACACGCCATGTACACCCCTGCCCATAAGAACGCGAACACTTCCTTAATTAAGATAAGTTATCTAAAATAAGGTGTGAAATCATTAATATCATTATAATGTTTGTATTTACTTCGTAATATTAGAGGGTCCAGAAGAAGCGGAGACGAGGCAGACACGCGGGATGACATGCTGGAAAAATGTAAGAAAGAAGAAGGGATGCATGGGAAGATAAAAAAGATATTAGCGGAAAACGGGGAGGGGGAGGGGCGCATGACAAAGTCAGATTGATAGACAGAGAGAAAGCAAAAGCAGGAGAGGAAGTGCGAATGAAAAAGAAAAGAAAGGAGATTGGATTGACGAGAAAGGATGGTAGAATCAGAGGTCACAGAGGGGAAAAATGGAATGATGAGGGGGAGTGAGCGACGGAATGAGAGATACGATATGTAAAAAGATTTGTAAAGAGTTTGTAAACTCGCCTGGGTTTAAATATACAGTTAAATACGATTACAACAATTTCCAAGGGACGGAGAAATTACGTCGTCATAAGCGAACGTTGATATAAGCAAAATTAAATTATCGGAAATCGAATTTAAGAGAGTGAAAAGGACGTAATGTGCGGTCTGTGTTATTCTACGCGATGTAGCAAAATTCGAACTCGAGTGTATATTGTCACTGTTAGAATTACGTTCATTGTTAAGTCAATTTATTCACCAGCAACAAATTCAATCGT